GGTGAACATAACACACTCGACGTGCTGCAGAAATATGCGCATGCCCTTTTTTTGCATATTCCAGAGGGAGGGGTTGATGTAAATGTGGGTTAGTGACGTACCATAACCCAGCTGTAGTCCCAATCGAGTCATTTTTGTAGGCAATATACTTCCTGATTTTTAAAGGACGATATCTCTGCTTACACTGACCTTTCAGGCGCTGCAACTTTGCAGATACTGTTCATGCACCAACAGCAACATTACACACTATTTAAAATGAAAAAAGTGAAATCGCAATCAACCCCCCCTTTAATACAAAAATGTCTGTAACGTGCAGTGTGGACTCTGATGGTCGGTTGTGAGGATCAACTATAACAACGCCACAAGAGACTCTGTGCTGGATCTGCCTCTGCATCAGGTTCAGCTTTTCTACTCGTCTCTAAAGGCCTTTGTGGAGCTGCTCAGCAGGCCTGAGAATGTGTTCACATACAGAATGGAACCAGGTCAGTGCGTCTGTTTACCTACGTATTTCAGATTCAGATGGTTTCAACTCGCATTTGTACAATAGTTGACAAAGATTAAGCTTTCCTCTACATTAGAAGGCTTTTGAATTTGGGACTAGACTCAGTCTGTGTTTTGCATTTAAAATCCAATGCCAAGGTTTTCAAAAACATTTACTAGAATTATTCCAAATTTGAAGTACTTCAAATCCATAAGGCTTCCCCATTGCCGCTATACTTACTAAACCAAATATGACAACATTAGAATTGAAACTCTTTTTGCACGTCTAAATAAGAGACTGATGCTGGTTGTTCATTTGATCTCTGCGCAGGTGACTTGGTGACCTTTGATAACTGGCGTCTGCTGCATGGCCGAAAGAGCTACCTGTCACGAGGGCAGAACTCAAGACATCTAGAAGGAGCATATCTGGACTGGGATGAGGTCATGTCCCGTCTCAGGGTCCTCCGGAAGACTGTTCGTGGAGAAAGCTAGACATCTCTTCATTAGTAACTTTAAAAACAACTCGAGAAAGCTTTAAAAAAGTTTTGGATCCCTAGGGATATTTTCTGTTCATTTAAGTTTTGGCAAGTAGATATTTGGCTTCTGTAGTTAATATTGTGGCCTTTTACTGAGGGGCTCTTTGAGTCTCCAGCACTTTCTTGCGTATACAGTACATCTTGCACATACAGTGCTTGGAAAGGACAGACTTGTGCTTGACTTGTAATTTTTTGATAAGGGACAAATTTTTCAGAGGTCTTATTAAGAATCGTATTAAATGAATGATCACAAGAGTCAGTGAAGTTTTGTTAAGAACTAAATATCTCGCTTCTCTGTGGACAACTGCCTGAAGTATCGTATTAGATACTGGGTTTATTCCAATCCACCAATGTTTTTGTCATTCATATGGTCCATGCTATAAAAAGTGACAACTCTTAAGTACGAGATGGCATCAACAGAGCTAAAAAAGAAAGTTTTATCCAATCTCTGATTATGTCTTACATTTTGTCTTATCGTTCTAATGGTAAAGACTATCATACCGTCATGATTTATGGCACTGTTTAAATGCAGTCATTTTAATATATATTGATTTTTACCAATATTGTTTATATTCTGCTTGTTTTGCACTTAATTTTACTGTAGATTAATGAACCATTTTTATTTCTTGTATTATATTGTAAATTGAACAACGATGGGCCATTGACCTTTGAGAAAAATGTTTTCAAGTGGCACAAAAATAATTACAAGCTGATGTCTAAAACAAAGTATCTCTGTTTTGATATATGGATATCGGATAGTTCATTCAAATATGATCAGTACTTGTGTATACTGATTGCCATGTGCAGTAGACATTAAGCTATTTAATACTTGAAAAGCCTCAAATATTACGTTTTTAAAGAAAACTGGCCAGTGTGTAAATGCAGCAACAATGCAAATATAACTCATGCAGCTATTAGTTTATAAAACTGTTGGAGCTGAAGTGTTACATGTATTGTTTTGGCATGTATTGTTTTTTTTCCAAAATGACAATAAAATACATTTATAATATACCTATACATAAGGCATTCATGTACTTATACAAATACTGTGGCTATAAATCTTCTGATTATACCAGAGGTCAGTTTTTGAATGTTGCTAATCAAGAGGTTTTTGATAAAAAAATTAAAATAAAAAAATAACATTTGAAAATGAACTCTAAAATGTAAAACAGTGATTCAATTATGATTCTATCAGTATTTATTTAAAACATTACATTTGTGTTTTGATGTTGATTTTCTAGTTAAATTGAAGGATTTGACATTAATAGAAATTTAAATGCTCCTGAAAATCAAAAATATCAATTTATATATATATATATATATATATATATATATATACATAAAAAGTGAGTATGTGATACTGTTGATAGCTTGTATAATGAACTGTAATTCTCATAGTAAAATTACCTTCAGTCACAGATTTGGGTTGGACATCTTTTATTTTCATATTGCGAAAGCTGTACAGGTTCTATAAATATTTTTAAATGCTGAAATATTTACATCCATGTCTCTATTCATTCCTTCCCTCTGATTCTAAACAATACAGACTAAAATGAAAGCCCAAATAATGTGCAATTGTAGATCTCACTCACACTTTCAAACAACAGACCTGATACACTGTCCACCTCAAAACATCTGTTTTGGAGACTTGGACTCTGGGAAATCAGTTTTGTGCTATTTACATCTCTAAATCATTAATGAGTGGGCTTTTCAATTGCATTTACAGTCTGCATTCAACAACGGAACTGAATGGAGTCACAAAACAACAGCTTTTTTGTGCACATTCATACACGTGAATGATTAAAAATGTGAGCAAAACATAAAAGAATATTAAAATATGTGAATGTGACGGCTGTACTGCCCAATCTAGTAGTCAAGAAGAGATGACTAGAGAAAATTTGCCCCTCGAAGAACAGACAAACTCTCTTTGTCATCTGTGTTTCTAACACAAACACACACAAACAGAAAGAGGACACTTCAAACAGGACATTTTGGACAAGACTTTTCCAACAATCTCCAAATGTAGCTGTCCTCTAGATCAATAATGCCATTTTCATTGCTGTCAAAAAACGGCAACAAACTAACAGAAAACATAGAAGCGATGCCGGTCACCTCATTATGAACACTGGAGGACAGTGGATGAACTCTATAAGGACGTGACTGGACTTGTTCTTGGTACGCACTAGTGAGAGTATTGCACATCTAGAAAACAAACTACAGTTTTTCATAAACATTTCTGTTGCTTTTTCAGCATTGCTTCAGGGATGTACAGATATCTTCCTTTTTTAAATATTCATTATTTTCAAGTGACATGCATTTTAACACAGCAGTTCACAGACAGGGAACTTTACAGCAGAAATAGCACAGCAGTTTGAGCCTCACATGGCAAGAGCTAAAGAGATACACTTATAGCAGTTAAAGGAGGGAGAAACAGACATTTAGGAATGGGACGGAGGGTTAAGGCAAACCCCTCATACGTGGCAGCGCAAGATTGGAAAGACTTGAACATTTCACCCACAACAGACAGTACAGACTGGAATTTACAGTACAACTTCGCACATAAATATTAAATACACAGCCTGTTGACTTATATCAGCCTGATCTCTGCATGCCAGTGCCAACTCGCAAGAGCAGCGCATGGGACGTGCATTCAACCAAATGCCTCCGATTGCAATAAATAAAACTGTATAAATGGGGGGAGGGGGGCGCCAACCAATAGTATTCAAAGTCTATTCTTGTTCTGGTTGGTCCATACTATGAGAATGAAACGCCAGCATTTTAGTGTCGGACTGGAATACTATATCGGGTACGTCACAAGATCTATTATATGAATGGGTCGTTTCTTTTAGGACAGATGCGTTGAAAATGTGAATTGGTACAGGAGCAGAGGTCCTGAAAGGAGCATGGCAAGAGTGTCAGCTTGTATTGAACAGTTGTATTGCAGGAGTTCAGGAGTGGGCTGAAGTAAACGTAGGAGAGAAATGTGCTAGCTCGGTAGTGGACGAGGGGACAGCATCTTGGGCTTGCCCTCTGACTCTTTCCCTTTGACCGCCGCCATGTAGGAGAAGAGGCAGAGCACCGAGTAACAGATCTGATTTGCCTGTTTGAGACAGAAGAGTTAACACAGGGTTATTTACGTGAAAAAGGGGGGGGGGGAAAGTATATCACTCTATACTGTATTGTAGGGCTAGGCAAAAACACGGATTTCCCTGTTCTTTTCAGTGAATCAAAGACATCCAGGTCGACCAGTGTATTCCCGCAACTGAGATATGGAGAAAAAAGCCTTGAGGGGAACTAGTCACCTGATGGAGTTTGGGTTCTTTGCCAGTGTCGCTTTTGGCTTGCATAGTTGGGGTTTAAAAGACACTTAATAATCAGTAATATTATCGATTTAACTGCACTGACTAACTTGAACTGAATTGAGCTGGATTTACTATGTATTTTTCAACCTTTATAATATATTACCAAAACCCTTGAGATGGTACAGCGACTTAACAATAGGTTAAATGACACGTTTGCCAGAGCTTGACAGTGTCTGTATCGCTTTTACTGGCACTATGTAACTTCGGGTTTTCGGGAAGGAACCCGAGCACAAAAAGAACCAAAACGGCATACGTCACTTCCCCCGCCACCCAAAACTTCCTACGATTCTGACGTGAGAACTCAACTCGCGTTTGATTGCCGTCTGTATGTTTTCATCTTGACCGAACCAATAGCTACAAGGAAGAAGGCAAAGGTTTTGTCAGAGGACACAAAAAAAAAAAAAAGAAAAAGGGAGAGTGACAAATTAAAAGCCCGGATGAGGATCAACATTGGTCCAGCGTTCGCTCGCTGGCGTGAGCTAAAGGAGGAGGAGGGGTGCCCGACCGATGCTGACCTGGGCGTCATGTTTTTGGACTAGTAAGTTAAATATAGTGCTAGAACACTATCTCTATTTTTTTTCATCTCAAATTTGTTGTCTGCCAGCCCTACTGTGCATAGTATTGTATGAATACTGAAATCTTACCATGGGAGTCTTGTACTTATGGATCACCACTTCTTTAGTTTCAGGAACTGCAAATCCCGTGCAAGAAACAAAATGAAAAGTTCAACAGCAGTGGAATAACAAATTTGAATTATTCAAGGGCAAGGGGCGGAAACAGAGAGAAAGAGAGAGAGAGAGAGGAGGGGAGGCATACATACAGTACGATACGGCCCATGACAAATGATTATCAGTCTATATCTGGCCCTGCCACATTTCAGACAGAGCAAGAGCGCACTGAATTTTACAGCAGAAGAGCAGCACTCATATAGTTCATATGACTGAACAGGATTTATCATCAGCTGAGAAACTCTTATGCAATGGGGAACTGAATCAAGGCAGGCTCAAGAGGAGAAAGAAAGAGTGAGAGAGGTGGAGGATAGATGGAGAAATCCAAGAGAGAGAGAGAGTAAGAGAGGGAATTTCATTGCAAGTTGAAGTCGGAAGGAAATCCGAGGTCTGTTGGGTTTTTCCATCACTGGCATGACTTTTACTTCAGGCATGAGTGTATGAACTCGAGTTTAGAAGCGACATCTGACATGAAGGCAGTGCAGTGCAGATGAGGAGTCGACAGCCATAAGTGGTGAAAGAGGGTGTATGAGAGATGATGACAGATGGAGAGTTAAATGAGGACAGGTGAGGGAAGAGAAGAAGAAAAGATAAAGGTGACAGCACTTTACCTGCTGGAGAATGAAGGTTTTCATAGCAGCAAAGATGAGGGGCGGATTACAAAAAGGAAGCACAAAGACACAGCAATAACCCAGTCTAGAGCCGACCCTATGGCTACAGAAGAGATTTCATACACTACAACTCCCTTCATATAGATCTCCAAAAGAACCAGTTAAATGATCTTTGCACCGTTTAGTCATTATCTAAAGTCTACCAAGACTTCTATTCTGAAGACTATGACAAACATTAAAGCCATACTGTGACTCCTTCCAAAAGATGCATCTGAGGAAACAACTGCAATCTAAATCTATGCTGATCATTGAATTATTCGCAGAACAACTTGAACTGTGTATTATTTCTCAAAGCCGCTGCTGTCGTTTAAGATTTTTGCAGAATCCTTTACCCCTTCCTCCAGGCCTGATCAAATCAGTGTGTTGTCTTGATATCTTGTTTAAGCTAATAAAAAGAGTATTAGTTAACAGGTTAGCGCTAGGCTAAAGAATGGGAAATGTTTTTAGCTTTGGTACTTACAAAGTGTTATATGTCAATGATACATAGGGATTTTGACAGATAGTAATACTTGTTTTCTTTTTAAAACCAACAAGATGTAAACTTACACTACATGATAATGTACATAGTAATCCCTAAAATCATTGATTTTAGTTTTTAGAGTATGAAAAAGAGGAAATGAACAACTAAATACACAACAACTGACAGATAAATAATGAAAATAAAAAAATAACATTGGTATTTTGTGCTGGTAATGAACATGTTTTCATGATTGATAATTAATAGGCCTGAATAGTTGTCTCAGTCAGTCAATGGAAATGGTTTTGGGTCCAAGGGGGACAGGATTCTGGGATAGGATCTTGCACCTTTTAGGCATCACATTTTATGTAACATTTCATCCCAGAAGGTGCATAAATGAAGCAACAGCTAAAACTGTGATCCTACTTCTATAACCTCTGCTCCTGAAGCTCATACATGTCGTTCTGACCGCCAAATCTAACAGTACTGAACGTGACAACTTCTCTGCTCTGCATGTGACTGAGTTACTGCTGTGTCGCGTACAGGCCTAGAATCAAAATGGGGGTAATTACCAAACTCCTCCAGGACAAAGACTCCTTTCACTGTATTGCACTTTTTAATGTGACTCAGCTCTATGAAAACCTAAAAACAAACAAAAAACAAACAAAAAAACAACAGGACACACTGTTACCAACTCAATCACACACTTGTGAGAAAACAAAACAAAAAGTATTTTTTGAAGAGATGACAATCTGGACAGTTAGTAACTGCAAAATAGGGAGAAACGGAGAAAGAACATGATAAGCGAGCTGTTAAAAAACTATCAAAACTAAAATATGACTGCACAGAAAGAGAAATTTCCATGTTGACAGGTTTACATGGGCCAGTGACGCAAATGGAGAGAGCTGTGAAAGTTTCAACACCTGAGCGGCATTTATGGGTCTGTTTATTTTCTAGAGAGTTATAATAAACCCAGATATACAGTATATTTTTTGTCATTTTGAAATTGTATTAAATTAATCGAGAGTCTCGCTTTAAAGAGAATCACTTTGTATTTACAATACTTGTCTACAATACTTAGTATAACGTGTTCTTGAGGCACTGGAGACTTGTATACCAAATGCATTTTGAAGCACTAAAGAGCTAATATGAACCTGCTGCTGTAAACATTCACACTAAAAGTAGGAATGAAATCATGGCACTGATCCCCTACGTGCTGAAAGGGCCCATGCAAAGACATCCATGGAAAATTCCATCAGAAAAAAAAGAAAAAAAAGACATGACACAGACTAAAAAAAGGAACCAAAAAGAGAGAAAATAATACAAAAGACAACAACAAAAAAAAGCACACAAGAGTGACGTCTGCCAGAAACGCTACAGAACAAGGAAAAGAATGAAAAAGTAAATGACAATGTTACGCTAAAAAGCAGATTGCAGAGGTTGTGTACCTTCCGCTCCTTGCAGGGGGAGAGAGCATGGGAGAGAAACGGTTTGGATTATTATTGGACAAAAAGAGCAGAAAACACCCTCTGGTGCTACGAGCCCACTCTTACAGGATTAAACTACAACCACCGATTCCATCCAGAAAGAAGCCATGTTGCATTAACTGTTAATATCTGCCATTATGTTTACGTTAGTTTTGAAGCCCTGATGTGTTCCCACCCCATTACCCTCCATGCCTCCTCCACCAGCAACGAAGACCAGCTCCCTCACACATGCCTACAGCCAAAACAGAATAGTGCCAAAACCATTACTACACACAGCTACACTACATAGAGGATTCTTAAAGTGTTCAACTGTTAACCGACAAGTGACCATAGAGGGGCACCAATGTATCATGGCAATATATTAAAGGGATAGTTCAGCCAACAATTCAAATTCTGTCATAATTTACTCACCCTCAAATCATTCTAAATCCGCATGCATTCATTTTTTTATGACGAACATACAAAAAAACTGTTTGGGTTTTCATCGACTGAAACTTAGGTTACAAACACTCATCAAAATTCAGCAAGTCATAAAGGTTTGGAATGACATGAGGGTGAGAAAATGAACTATACCTTTAGGTGATTACAGCGACTATGACCAAGTAAAACAGTTTTTAAAAAAGTTTGTATGTTAGATAGAACAAAGGTTTACATAGTTTGATAATCATTCCAGTCTTTTCCAGAGTATCAGCGTTATGTAACTACTGCTTTTCGCTTTAAGGGAGTTCACTATTGGGATATGCGTTTTTTTTTTTCTAATCAAAAAGAAAACTTTAGTTTTTTAGAAATACGTTCAGTGCATGTCAGTTCCCCTCCTCTTTGAAATATCTTTACAATATCTTTGCATTTCAAGTGTCAAATTAACCAGGTTAAATGGTCCCAGATCTAGGCCATATTAGGTCACAGAAGGAGGCCATATGGTCTTAATCACAAGTAGCATCTATAAAATCCGGTTTAAAAAGAACTATTACATGATTGGCTCCCATTAGAACCAATTTAAAGCTTTTTTTAAATACTTGGTCAAGTATAACACTTAACATCCCTAAAGTGGTTTTAAATAACCATGTATTGTATGAATTTTGTACATGACCACTTTGAATATGTTTTTTATTCATCTTACCTCTGGCACACCACAACAAACCGACATCACACACAAACCGTAAGGACCAGAGCCGGGCGCTGTGACCATTAACACGTCATACTAACACACACAGCGGGTGGAATGTTCTGACATTTGAAAAAGTAAATCTCTGCTTGTGATTAAGCAACCCAAAAACAAACATCCAGCAAATAAAGCCAAAAAACAATGACAACAACAACAACAACAACAACAGCTATTCCTCTTAAAAGATTCTTCAGGAACAACGCTTCCAGACATTTTTTACAAGCTTTCAGCTTTACTTTTATTTTAGAGTTTAGATTTGACTCTGCGTTTAATTATTTAGCCCATGTTTTTGTTACTTTGTGAGTTGTTCCAGAAAACTTCTCAGAGGAAGGAAGGCACAAATAGAAAGAAAGTGAGAGGAAGGAGAAGAGCTATGGAGAGGTGATGATGAGTTTATACAAGAAGTGGTAGAAAAGAGAATCAGGGGAATGAATGGATTGAGAATGAGAGGAAGGGTTGGTGCTGAATTTGGCAAGCACTTTTTCATGATTACAATAAAGGTGACACCTCTTACCTGGCTGTGCATAAATTTCAGGTTGATGCCTTCCAGAGTGACCTGAAGGAGACCACCCTCCCCTGTCTTCATGTCCTGAACTGGAAACTCACCTCCCAGCTCTGGACCTACACACACACACACACACACACACACACAAAGAGTCTACTTTCAGGAAAATGTAATCGGACAAGATGATTTTATATTTAAAAAAAAACTAAAAGGGTGAATTCAATTCAATACCCAACAAACACACACACTACAAAAGTGCAAAATAATTTGGGGTCAGTAGGATTTGTTTAAATAAAATGAATACGTTTTATTCAGCAAAGACTAAATTGATCTATATTGATAAAAAATAATAGTAAAGTCATGTATAATGTTCCAAAAGATTTATAGTTTAAAGAAATGTTGTTCTTTTGAACTTTATATTCATCAAAGAATCGTGAAAACAATGCATTACGGTTTCCACAAAAATATTAAGCAGATATTAGATTTCTGAAGGATCATGTGACACTGAAGACTGGAGTAATGGCTCCTGAATATTCAGCTTTACCGTCACAGAAAACACAAAAAACACAAAACAGTTATTGTAATAATGTAACAAATAGTAGTAGTTCACAAAATATACAGTATACTGTTTTTTTTTCTTGTAGCCGAAAAAACTTTCTATATATATATATATATATATATATATATATATATATATTTATCTTACCAACCCCAAACTTTTTGAAGTGTAGTGTAGAAAAAACACAATGTACCTGGTTTGATGCTTTGTTGTCGTGCAGCAGCACGCTCCATGCTGTCTTTAACACAGTAGTATAGTTCCCGACACTTAACACAAAAAACACAGAAAGAGAGGTGAAGTACAATAACCGAGACTTGATTACACAAGAAACAATACTGAAACAAATTCAAAATCTGTGAATTGAGATTGAGAGGGAATGTGTGTACTACAGTATGCCTATACATTGATGTGTGTCTCACCTTCTTGGTGTAGAACTTGTTAAGTTGTGTCTCTTGACCGTTCCTCCTCCACAGACACAATACTTTGGTCTTGGGACAGTAGGTCATATTAATGAGCTTTTCATACCACCAGCGCTCATAGACTGTGCCAATGTTACTGCGCAAGACGATGCAGTCGTCACACACCTAAACACACACGAAAAAGAGGAAAGAAAGACTGAATGCTCATTTACAATATATTTTCATGTAGACAAGTCAAATAGAATAAAAAAAAGAGGCTTGCAGACACACAAAACTCCTACCTCCATGAAAAATATGTCACCAGTTGTATCAGTCCCGGCATGCACAACAAACGTCTGTTTTTTAATGTGCCGGCTTCCACTTGGCCTGAGGGAAAGCTCTCGACCACTCTGCAGCAAAACACACAATCTATCAATCACTCGTGATCATGATATGTTCGGCCTATGGCTTACATGCAACAGCAGCAACTTTTCATCTGACCGGCTCTTACCAAATTTGCAAGGCGGTCCAGGACTTCATTGACCTCCTGACTGTGTGTGAGGCCGATGTGAGATTTCCCCATAAGACGCCGTACCTTCTTCCTGATGTCATTTTTATTGACCTAGATAAATGCGGTAGTAATAGTTTGAGTACATGACGGAACAAAAGTTTGGGGTCAGCAAACTATTTCATGTTTTTGACACAAGTCTCTTATGCCCACCAAGGCTGCATTTATTTGATCAAAAACACAGTAAAAAGAGTAATATTGTAAAATATTATTACAATTCAAAATGTATTTTATTCCTATGATGGCAAAGAGGAATTTTCAGCAGCCATTACTCCAGTTTTCAATGTCACACAATTATACAGACATCATTGCTGATTTGAAACTTTTCTTATTTTTATTAAAGGTGCTATATGTATTTTTTAGCGGCCTCTATCGGTGATGTTTCATATTGCAACCAATTTTTACAAGAACGCTCGTGCTCTTGCACACGCTCAAACAAGTTACATTTGTGATGCTATCTATAAGGCATTTCACTAACTATTCATGTATCTTTCACAATCAGCAATGTCAACATAGATGAATGTATAATATGATAACGAAAACGGTCAGTGAAGTAGACTGAACAACTTCAGTGTAACAGTAAGATCATAGGAAGTAACATTACTGTACAGAACGTGTCTGGAAATGTGTATTATAAACAATATGATAGTAATGGGATGAGTGATGTTAGAGAGTAGATATAATACATAAAATGAAAGTTACATCCTAAAGCACCTACTTTTTGTTATCCTAGAACAGTCTTTAGTATTCATTTCATGTCACATATATGTTGTAGTTTACCTTGCTATTTCATTAAAGTTTACCATTATTTCAGCATATAAGAAAACTTGTAATTTATCACAATAAAAATAGCAGAGGTCTCTCCATAATTCAAACACTCTGCCAATGTTGATCCACGTTTTCGTCCTAAGGCGATTCGATTCATGTTTGGCCTGACGAGCTTCAGCAGATACATTTTTGTTTAGTTTTTTAGGTGTTATGAGACTCGTGGTGTCGTCAGCTGCAGTGCCATCACATAGACTGTATAGACCATTTTGCAAGATGTAAACAACACTGGTCCAGAAACACTTCCTGTTTCAGTTTGTAACTGTTTTCTTTATTTCACATGTAAAGAAAACATCTTAAAGATGTTTGTTTAAATTTTTGATTCAGTTTTATATGTTCTGTTGGTTGTATTTTATCCCAGCTTTTATGTAGTGTTAAAAAACTGAAACAGGAAGTGCTTTTGGACCAGTGTTGTTTACATCTTGCAAAATGGTCTATATAAAAAGGAGAGAGGCTCAGGAGCGCGCACGCACGTAACATCCGATGGATTGCGCAGAAAATCCGACCTGGAGACTTCACACTTCACAAACTGTTCAATAATATTCGTATTGATTTAAGTATAGACCATTTTGCTAGATGTAAACAACACTGTTCCAGAAGCACTTCCTGTTTCAGTTTGTAACTGTTTTCTTTATTTCACATGTAAAGAAAACATCTTAAAGATGTTTGTTTAACTTTTTGATTCAGTTTTAAATGTTCTGTTGGTTGTATTTTATCCCAGCTTTTATGTAGAGTTAAAAAACTGAAACAGGAAGTGCTTCTGGACCAGTGTTGTTTACATCTTGCAAAATGGTCTATATTCAAAGGAAGGAGGGTGAGTTTTTGTGTATACCTTCATCATAAGCATGTAGGCGATCATGTTGTGCAGGAGAGTTGACAGTAGTCTGTCCTCATCGTCCTCCAGTCTCTTGCGGTCATGATCTCCCAGAGACAGATATCTGATAGACCAACAGCACAGTCATGTTTGGACAGCGTAATCAAAATATAACAGCAGGGTTTACATCTGAATCCTAGCATGACCAAAAAGCTTATAGCTTAAAGCTCATTCAAACCATTGCAAGATGTTGTCATCTTGTAGAGTGGAACATATGAAAAACATTTAAGCAGTGTCAGATGGGTGTAATTTGCTTACAACCAGTATGCATTGTGCTTTCATAGAGTATGTATTCATATGTATACTTTTCAAATCAGACAATTCTGAATGCCTATTTTGTGTTGTTTTTATTGCTTTCGAATCAATGTGAACACAGAACACACTAACCTGTCAATCATTTCTTGTGGTCCCTGATCCATCCCCATTCCTTCCCGTTCCAACATTACGGCATCCAAGTAGGCATCCTCCCAGAACTGCACTTGATCCCACAGAGTAGAGCGCTCCTTACCTACACATACACACACATTTTAACTCTTAACTTGAATAAAACAATATTTCAACTTAACCAAACATCTCTCAACTCAACTCAGCATGAACATTTATTAAAGGGATACTCCACCCAAAAAAATTCTGTCATCATTTACTCACCCTCAAGTTGGTGCAAACCTGTATGAATTTCTTTCTTCTGCTGATCACAAAAGAAGATATTTTGTAGAATGATTGGAACCAAACAGTTGTGGGGCACCATTGACTTCAATAGTATATAGTATATTTTTCAACTATGGAAGTCAATGCTGCCCCACAACGGTTTGGTTCCAAACGGTGGGTGAGTAAATGATGACAGAATTTTAATTTTTGAGTGGAGTATCCCTTTAAGGTAAATGTCAGATATTCAAAACCATAAAGACAAAAACTAAAATGATTTGGATATTACAAATAACACTCTACAAAAATTAACACAGATAATTGAAGCTAAGCCAAAGCAACTACACAGCATGCTGTAATAAACAGAGCTTGCTATCATACCTTATCAAATTAATTTTAACACAGAGTTAACACACGCCTCCATACATCTGCTTATTGTTTCAACATTCATTATCTCAAGCAGCTTTTAATCACACAAATGCATTCAATTACAAAATAAAATTGGCTCATCTGATCTGTCTGGTGTGTGTATTTTAATTCTCTAATCAAATGTCAAGTACAAGCACCATAAATGGACCATAAATTCATGCAAAATTGCCAATAAAACCATGCACACCCCAATACATTCAAATATTTATAATAAAACAAACACCCTACATGCTCCATACAAGACACACAGTCATAGTATAGATGTGAGGGAAGGCTGTAGATGTAGTGTCTAATACTACAATCCTAAAATATACACATCCAAAATGTCAAGTCACAGTTTATCCATACTCAGAGAAAAGGTTTCCATGGCAGCATCCTCCAGTTGGTCCCAAACTGAGCTTTTATCTCGCCCTTCGTGGCATTAAATGGGAGGAGAAAAAAGAAAAAAGGGGAGAGAGGGGGGAAAAGAGGAGGCCGCAGTACAGGAGGTAAAGAAAGTGTTAGAGTATTAGAAGCAAAGCTGTGTGCTGTAAGGGACATTCAAACCAATAATTCATCACATGCTGGTTAATACGAGGACTTATTTGGAACAAATGAACAGAGAAGCTGTAGCGGTCAGTATGTAAGCATGGTTTACAGAATAAACTGTTGCAAACAGAATCTAGACAGTAATAAAGGATTGTTCTGCGCAGCCAGTGTTGTGTGTGAACGCGTTCATTCAATGATAGTTCATGAACTCGTTCATATTTTGAGCGAACGTGAACTGAACGTACTGTATTACTGCCTGATGAACGTTATTGTGAACGCGTTCATTCTGGTGTCTGTGAACACACGCTTGCTCAGTTTAACTTCATTCGGGTGCCAGATTTCTATAGAAACTTCCAGGCGAAAACTTGGCTAAAACACACACAAACAGGTCTTAATATGTAGTGAAAAAAACACCCAATCTGGCAACACCAGCCAACAGTGTCGCATGCGTCATCAAAACAAAAAGCAGCATGTAGTCGACAAAGCAGCGAGGAGGTGTCGTATCGTATGATTCAGTTCTAAGACAAGGTCGTGAGGATTTCTGTGCAAACTTTGCCCGCCGATAAAATAATTTCTGTTTGTGGTTGTTTATGGGTTGAGGTGGCGAATATTAAAAAAAAATTTAAATAGCTCGTAGCAACATATGGAAAAAAAGAACTATGAACCGTGAACTTAGTTCAAAATTGTGAAGTGTGAACTATGAACGGAACTAGTTCATTTTGAAATTTGTGAACTGAACTTTGAACTAGTTCATGTAGAAAGTGAACTTTCCCAACTTTCCCTGTGTTCAGCGGACATGTTTTTACAATTTTTAAACATTAAGATTATGGAAAACAAACAGAGACAACTTTTGGAAATACCTCATAATTCTTAATTAACATAGACATTGAAAAATACACCAGAGCTGATTACTAAAGCAGTGAGTAAGGAGGACATGGAAGAAGAAAAGAAAAAGTGCGAGAACAAACAAAATGAATGAAAGGAAATGAATGCTGAATAGATTAAGGAGGAATATTGACTCTTACCCAGCAGCCCCTCACACAGGTATATCCTCATGCTAACATCCTCAAGGGGCGGTGCTGGTGCTCCCTTATTGACACTAACAGGTCCCTTCACTCCTGGCTTCAGCATATGGGTCTTGCCCTATATGAGCAACAACCGTTTAAATGTTTGGGGTAAGAAATGAATGCTTTTATTCAGCAAAGACACGTTTATTTGATCAGCCATTGGACAGCACTATATATAAACAAATATTCAAATATATATTTCATATATCCACTATTTTATTTGTTGCCACATGGTGCAGTTTTGACATAGAAAGGATGACTGCAACTAAGCCTGTGGATAAGGATAAGCAAGAGATGCTCACAAACACAGAGCTGGTCGCAGGGTTGGTCTCAATCTCACTGTCGGACAGCGTGCCACGGGACAGGTTGAGATGTTGAGCATGTCTTCCTGTTTGGCCGTCTCCAGCAGTGCTGCTCAGGTCGCTGTCCGCACCCAGTGTTTCACCTGAGCTGTTACTCACCTACAGATCCAAAGTCAGAGATCAGCAATAGTACAGCAAACAAGAGAGATTTTATGACTTCTCAAAGGTATAAAGAAAAAAGAGAATATTTATTTCTTCATATTTAATTGAACTATCTATATTAGAACAAACAGAAACTAACAAACTTGTAAGAGAACTGTCAGTGGGAACTACATATAACTTGGATATACAGAAGTGTCTCAGTATTGGCCGTGCCCTACCACTGTGCTAGCCTCTGAGTCCTGACTGTTGCTTCTCGTGAGAGCAGGAGGCTCGGAGCTCGCCAGGGACTCTGTATCACTCTTCTGGACAAGGGATAAGCATGAAGAACATACAGTAGATGAAATAGTACGCATAGGTATATTTCCATGCATTCAACTTCAAAATAAAATAAAATAAAATGTTTAAAGATTTATATTGTGATATTAGGTTAACACCAACCTGTGAGCCAGATGTCACACTGAGGCCACTGTCAGCACTGATCTGTGATTTCTTTTCGTCAGTGTCTCCACCTTCTAGGCGCTGTTTTGCTCCATCGGCCCCTGTAGAAAACATACAATCAGCTCTTCCATCCATTAACTCTCTGCTCTGCATTCTGGGACGTCACATGACTAACAGTGAGCTGAAGCCATCTCTGTTCTACAGAGCGACATGAAAGTTATCGGTTTCACTGTGGGGGAATAATGCCATTTCAGCCGGCTGACACTATGCTGAACAGACAGACAGAAACAAATAATGCTTGGGATCATATTGGGGAAACTCACAGAAGCACATCAGCTGACAGTGGGCCAGATCAGTTCACACACAATAATGCTAGACAAAAGCAGTCACACATGCAGGCAAACAGTCAACTAAGTGAACAGGAGGAAGCTTCAGATGCTACTAGCGCACCCACTGCTTCTAAAATGAAGAAACCTATATTGTGCTCGCAAACCCCAACTTGGTTACAACTGATTACACTGTACGAGGCATCAAGGCCTAAAAAATAAAACGTAAGCGGTACTCCAAATCTTCCACAGTAAAATTAACCAAGTGCAACAGAATGCATGTGATGTTTGAAACTCTTTTAATACTCGACTGAAACAAGTAACTGAAATCTGGCATGATTGTAGTTTATCTCACATCCCATACTTGCATCAAATTATAAGTAAAATGAGGTGGAAACCAAATACAATGTATGCCTGTGTTCAGAGACAGTCTTTGATAAAAGTAAAATAAAACAAATGCTACAAATCTCCTCAAAAATAACCTGATTATCATTTATTTACACAACCTGATGAGAATTAAAAATGTATGAACTCAAAAAAAATCTAAGAACATGTGAGATAAATCTACTCAATCATGGTCAAAAAATGTGAATGCTTTAAAGAAATGACAAGTTGCCAAGTCAAAAAAAGAGCAAACCAGTCAAGAGTAGGAATGGCCATGAGTACCTGAGTACTGGGAAGTGATAGCATTGATTAATAATGATTATTTTGTGATTGGTTAAAAAAGAAAATCAGGTGGTACTTTGTGTATAGGTGCCTTCCAATCAAAGCAATCGGACAGCAGAGTCTTGACATTGTCCAAGTGAGAAACGGCGCTTAGAACACTGTGTTCACATAGGAACGCATTCCAGCCCAGGGGTCAAGAACTATTTTAAATGAGTACAAATAAATAAAAAAAATTACTCAAATCATAAAAACACTGAGTGAGTCACTAAAAGACGCAATATATTTGCAAAAAAATACTTTGACCCAAGTACTCAATATCTGTCAGTGTCAAGTACTCAAGTAGTCAAAATAACCAACATGCACATCCCTAGTCAAGAGTAAGATTTGCACACTTAGAAATATTGGCCCAAATATTAATTCCATTTCAATATGTACAGGGCTTATTTTATACCTGAAAATTGACTTTGGATGGATCGCCATTTTAACTTTGCATCTATATACCTATGAACAGTATATATATATACCTTCCTTGACAAAATGTTTGGGCCACATGTCTAAATGGGCTTTTTGAGAAGTAGTTGAGTATTTGGGGGCAGATTCTGTTTTTACCCACAATAGAAAGTGGTTTAAGGGAAGAGGACTGGTGCAGGTAGAAGGACAGAGTCCCTCTTTTGCAGTTCTGCAAAGGAAAGTCTAATTGGGTGCTTAGGGAAGTGATCTTACTCTGTTCTTTTTCCAAAGCTTTTTGCTTTCTGTTATCCTGGTGCTTGCTCCACAATTCTACCCAAGATGCATTGCAAGCAAGGAGAGAAAGACAGAGAGAGAATCAGAGAGCCGGTTGAGTTGTCAGATATGGAGGATGAGCTGTTTTTAAGAGAAAAATAATAATAATAAAAAAAACAATAAATAAAATGGATCAAGTGCAAAGTCTCATTTTCCAAAACGTAAGGATGTTTTGCAATGTTCACATAGCCATATGCAATCTAAATGAAGGATCTGATGTCATGTAAAACCATCCAATCATTTAAATCAAGTGGGGTCCCATTACAAAACATCCTAAGCTCTGCATCCCTGTTCCTGAAGAGCCAAAATGATGGATTTCACACAAAATCAGCCTCATGCCTTGGTTTTCTTTCCCCATTCTCGTCATCCATAATGGGCAATGGCTCTCCAAGGTGAGGGTGGATGGTCTGGGAGGTGCAAAAGGCGTGAGATGAGAACGACAAATCAGCCTCAGCTGGTGAGTGAAATGAGGTGTAGCAAAAAGCAGGGCGTGCAGTCTCAAAGACATTCCGTAGAATTGCAGGTGCATTATTACCGAAGGACAGACAAGGCAAGGTAATGGGGGTTGGGGTTTGGAGGGGGGGCGGTGGACGATCCCCTGTACACAGACCCAGATATGACCGCCAATCAGAGGCCTGGGCCTAAAAATCCACAAGCCACTCCAGGTGTTTCAAATGGAAGCAGGTGTCTGCAGTTAGCTTTAGGGATCATCATAGGACTGTTAACAGGGGAAACAACAGCTCAGGACCCTTTTATAGAGAGTAGTGGTACAGTCCAAGACCTTCACCGTCCCACTATTTCACTCTCGGCTACATAGAGTCTTTCACTAACATGCATCTAATGGATTTAAGGTGAGACGGGACTGGCAAACAGGATTTGAAAAAACACACGTTGAACATTCCAGAAGTTGTCTACGTAAATTAGGATCATATATGCATCACAATATTCCAGTAATGTGTCTACACCAACCAATGCTCCCTTAAAATATTTGTTGGCTCCAAAAGCAACAGAACTGAAGAAGTTGTCAATGTTTTTGGAAGGATCACTCAAACTATAATGTATGAGTTCACTCAAAAATGAAATTTTGTCATTATTTACATAATTACCCTCAAGTCGCTGCAAATCTGTGTGACTTTATTTCGTCTTTCTTTTTTGTCCATTCATTAAAGCTCAATGGGGTCAATGTTTTGTCAATCTTTCTTTTTTTGTTCTGTAGATGAAAGAAAGTCATACAGGTTTGGAATGACAAGAGGATGAGTAAATGATGACAGAATTAAACAAATTTCAGGTGAGGGAACACTTGAGCCATTGTGGTTCTTAAGTTTTAGCACAAAGTCAGTGTAGACAGATAATGAAATAGAGGAAGAGGCCTTAAGGGACACGTGGCCCCAAGAGAGCTCAGGGAACATAACAAGCAGCGAGAAAGGGGGGGGTCATGCAATGAGGACTGCTGTTTACACACCAATGGAGGCAATAAAATTCTCTTCGTTCAGACTCCGTGTGTCAAACTGCCGTGGCGATTTCCCAGAGGAGGGTGGTGGCAATTGTATACGGGGTACCAGGAGTACGCCTGCCGCCCTGGCACTCTCCATTTGGCCCGATGGGCTCTCCTTACTGCCGGGGCTGTTGATCCCCTCTGTGGGGCTCCGTTTCCGCTTGTCTAGGTCTGTGAGCCACAAGCGGGCACAGAGGAAATAGAGCAGGGAAATAGAAAGAAGAGGAAATAGCAAATACAAATGGAGACAAAGGGATAGAAGTCAAATTTAAAGGTAGGTTACAGGTGATTTCGCCAAACAAATATGGAAAAAAGGCTGAAACCCAAGATTATGTAAATAGCTTGTAGAGTGACTGACACCAAGTTGCACATGGCTGTGAAGAAGAGGAACAAGAACCTTCTAGAAAGTGGAAACTCTGTGTGTTGGTATATATCTTTTGGTCGGACTGCAGGCAGAAACTGTTCAATGCTAAACATTAAGATTTTTTCTTAATTTGGACATTCAAATGAAGGTTACCTTTGGTTTGGTAGTGGGTGCGCGCTATCTCGAGCAGACTGAAAACGCTGGCCATGCCTCCCAGGCCAGCATTAGTGTAAGAGTGCTCCAAACTGGACACTGTGCACTTCAGTAAGTCCAACATGCCTTTGTACACTTTCCTGTTTATCTCCTATACGCATAGGCACACAGAATTATACAATAAACAAACCATAAGTAAAAAAAAAAAAAGAGTTTTGCTTTGTCAGCATCAACTTGTTTGACTCGTCATTTCTAACTCACCACATCTCTTATAACTTCCTGCTGAGCGTCTTCCTCAGATTGGACAGCACGGTTGAGTTTGCTCAGCACAAAGACGCGCAGCTGCTCATTTTCTAGCAGGCGGCGTACCTTCTTCATGTTGAGCCAGCCCACACCCTGCCCATCGAGCACGCTCTGGACCACCTCCTTAAGAAACTGCTGGTTCTCACTGCACAGATATCAAAATACCAGGTTTACTGGAGCAAGAGACACATATTCACTTCATAGGCACTCAAAAGAAACTGCTCATCTCCTAGGATTTTCACACACAACCATTTCTAGGATTGGTCCAAAAATAGAGAAAATATCCAGTGAGTGGTAGTTTGGTTGGTGAAAAACCTTGTTGATGCCAGAGGTCAGAGGAGAATGGGGAGACAAATAACCACTCGATAAAACCAAGGTCTGTAGAAGAGCATCTCTGAATGTCGAACATGCCAAACCTTGAAGCAGATGGACTACAGTAGCAGATCACACCAGGTGCTACTCCTGTCATCTATGGAACAGGAAACTAAGCCTACAATTCACACAGGCTCAACAAAATTGGCCTTATGCACAGCTGCACTACTTCCTGAACTTAAGCCAGCTCATTTGTTTCCCGTCTGCTATTATTGGTCAAATTGATTAATTCAGGTGTGCCTGACCTCAGTAGTCACGGCAACAATAATCAGACACACCTGAATTAATCAAGTTTGGCCAATAACAGCAGACAGGAAACAAGGAGCTGGCTTAAGTTCAGGAAGTAGTGCAGCTGTGCATAAGGCCAATTGGGCAATAGAAGACTGGAAAAATGTTGCCTGGTCTGATGAGTCTTGATTTCTGCTGCAAAATTCAGATGCTAGAGCCAGAATTTGGAGTAAACTATATGAAAGCATGGATCCATCTTGCCTTGTATCCACGGTTTAGGCTGGTGGTGGTGGTGGTGGTGTAATTGCGTGGAGGGTATTTTCTTGGCACACTTTGGGCTCCTTAGTACCAACTGAGCATCATTTAAACACCACAGCCTTTACAAAAGTTTTAAGAAAGTCCTGAAGGTATACCTAATAAAGTGGCACGCGAGTCTACATACACTACCATTCAAAATTTTTACTGACCACATTAAATATATCAAAAGTATCAATAGTATTTATGATGTTAAATATATTTCTATTTCAAATAAATGATGGTCTTTTGAAATTATGGTGACACTTTAGATTAGGGTCCAGTTCTCACTATTAACTATGACTTTCCCTTCAATAAACTCCTAAATCCTACTTTTTAATAGCAGCACTACTCTTACAACTTTTTTTCATTTGGATTAATCGCATCTGCTTGTATATGTCTAATTTGCCAGATGCTTTGGCTAATAAATGAAGAGATATGCAGTACCTGGTGTTGTTGGCTCTGCCTTGAGGAGATGGAGACTCTCTCTTGACGGTGGGGCTGTGCTTAATAACAGAGGATTTCTGATCTACCAGCGCTCTGGGCGCTCGTGCACCTATAACAGAACGTTCACTTTGTTAGACTGGATATAGACCTTATATGTACTGTATGTATGTAAGCCAGTCACATAGAGGCAGGTTCCATGTGTTAATACCCACCCACACACACACTCCCATTCCCATTCACACACTCAGTTAAAATTTCACATCACTTGAAACACACATCTAGGCCTAATCACCACAGCAGAAACACAATGACTACAGCATTAAGACACACAATGCAGTCTCAGGCCCCTACACAGATGTTTTAATCTTGTTTCTGGTAATAGTATAGAATCAATAGAAGTAAAGGACAACACACACAGCTTAGAAACTAGCAGATTTTCCTTAGCACCTCGGTACTTTGGACACTGCAGTATGGGGCGTATTACATGACTAAAGACGCGAACGTTGACAGTGGGCGACTCAAGGACTGGAGCAGTAAGGAGAACTACAGTACAGGAGCAATGACGCTGGTTGGTGCAAACACACACATACAGGCAAAGAACAGAGTGGGAAAAATGAGTGGAAGAAATGTGTGAGTGAGAAACAGACTGGATGGCAACACGAAACAACAAAACAAAAATAATGAAATAAGCCCTCGCAGTTTAGATTATCATACCACACACACTGCCTGTAGCTGTGAGTGTACGGCAACAGCACATACAGTACACTAATACACACAAAGCAATTCAGTGTGTGTATTCAGCCTCTGTCCATAGATCCTGAAGATTCACATGCATAAAGCACAGCCAGTGCATTGATGGCTTGTGCTACATACAAGAGCATTAACAGACGGCCATGTTCACACACATTTCACACTGTGTGGCTGATTACATGTTAGATTGGGCCAGGAAATATTTTTAGACAAGACTTACATGCCACAAAATGAATAACTATGTTACAAACTTGCCAAAGAGGCATTTTGAAACAATTTATAGGAGTAAAACCAAAGGCATGAATTGTGTATTCTGATAAGCTGAATTACACCTCATAATAAATCATATAACTAGTATGTGTCCTTTATATACTGTATATTCTACAGTTCAAAAGTTTGAGACCAGCAAGGATGCATTAAATTAATCAAATGTAACCGTAAAACACAAGTATAATGTTATAAAATAAATGTCTTTCTATTTATCAAAATATCCTGTCATGATAACAGTTACAAAAACATGAATTGGCACAAGCGCTTTCAACAATGATAATAAAATATCTTTGAGTTTCCTGAAAACTCATCTTTGCCATCACAGGAATTAATTACATTTTAACAAATAAATTAAAAAAAGAAACCAGTAACTCTAAATTGTAATAATTGTTGGTTAACACTTTATTTGAAGTGTCCTTGTTAGACTTTACATGTAGGTTCTATAGTAATTACTATAAATTATCCATAATTACATACAACTAACCCTAAACCAAACCCCATTAAATACCAATACTCACTATTTAAATGTATAATTACACTGCAACAAGGACACCTTTTTTGTAATAAGCTGAAATTAAATTATAATCTTATAGTAATTATTACTAACTTGCAATATGTTACTCTAAATTGTAATATTTCACAATATTACTATATTTACTGTATTTAAATAAACTGTATTTATTGTATTTTTGATGAAATAAATACAGCCTTGGTGAGCATAAGAGACTTACAAACCCCAGACTATAATATACAGCCAATAGGTTATTAATGTGTGATAAAAAAAAAAACAGTTAATTGCACACTTTTTCATAAAATCAGCACATTCATTTTCAAATAAAAAATACCATGTTCTGCTTATTCTGCATAGATTACAGATCTGCACATTCCCTCAACAAACATCATAAGATGCTATTTAAGTAGTATCACAGCAGTATTGTGAATACTTTTTGGCTTTTCCTTCACTATCTGGTCATAAACTGTATATATGATCCTGTAGTCTGATCCCAAGTTTCACAGACATCATCAATCTCTCTATATGACATAACAGCAGTCCTGTTCTACAGGCCCAGTCCATCAACAGACGACAAGACGCATGTGAACAAAAGAGTCAAATGGTTACAATCACAGTGACTGACATCCAACAAAAGATGACAGTCGAAGGTGAGGAATGAGGAAGCAATGGTGGAACAGGATGCTGGGAGATGTAGCTGACTGGCTTTGGAGAAGCATGCAGCTCACGCAGCAAAGGGCGGAACCCACCTTCTCCGCTCCCCGGGCCGATCTCTGTTACAATCTCCATAAGAGAATTTAGCCCAAATACTGGACACAGAAGCCAGAATTAGTGCAGGGGGTCAAAGAGGGGACAGAGAACAAAACCGGCCCAGACAGAACCAGTCCAAACATCAACCCACAACCACAAGCGTCGAACACATGTACATATAACAACAGAGAAAACCAGCAGAGAGCATGGAATATGAAAGAGAGGGAAAGAGAAATAAGAGAAAGGCAGAATTCAGAAAAAGATACGCATTTTAGTTGAGCATTCCAGACTTACATTTAGTCAGAATATCTTGGGTGTCTTGATTAACTATGATTACATGTGAATTAATGACAGAATGAAGCAGTTCTACAAAACTCCATTCATAAAACGAGCAAAAACAATTGGATAATAATAAACTGAATTATTAATATTAGAATTTAATAATAGAATGTTTCAGCAATAAATAACTGCTTAGTGCTTTTAAAAAAATATGTAATGTGCGATTAATTTCATTAATAAATAAAAAATTGAAAGTCAGCATGCAATGAAAATTTTATTTGTAAATGCAAATTCTACATATTACAATGAATAAATAATGTATGTTTTTCCCCTTTTTTGACCTCATCATGTTTAATCTAAAATGTCATAACCTGATATTTCTGTGAAAAACCCAACTCTAATCATTTAGTCCACTTAAACTCCAGAATAAACCACAAGCTTGCATTCATCAAGAGCTAATGCCGATACCTCCAAATCCAGTCAACATATAAAACCCAAGCTGAAGAGAAAAAAAGGCCAAGAGCACAAATTGACACTTAACTGCTAGACTAGCGGAATTGTTGAACATTACAACATTAAAAGAAAAAAATCATTACCAGTCGACATCCTAGCTGGAATGCAGTGTGGTTTCATCTCCCGCAGTACTCAATTGGTTTTCTCCCGTACCCAGCTCTAAAAGCAACATTGCTATTCTCTGCTTTAAACTGCACACTTTCTGTGCATGCAAGCTACAATCCTCGACATATCATCGATTTATTTTAAAACACCACAACCACCAGACTTCAAAGTCTCCTTTACTGAGACTTTGGTGGAAATTCTCCATCCAAGTTTAGTGGAAACTACATTTCAGTTCCGAACTTGATCAGAGCTTGAAATGTACTGAGTGACTGCACTTCTCCCATTGTAGTTTTGTTATCTTCAATCCACCCAGGGAGCTGAGGTGAAATTGAAATGAAACAGACCCCAACTCTGTTTCCAATTGTGGTGACACACATATAAAGGAAAGATCACTTCAAAAACACACCACACACACAACACAAAGAGCAGTCAAAAATTGTTTCATTCCGATGCAGAAAAATGTTTTGAAAAGTAACCATGACCTGGCTGTTGTCTACTAAAAAGTGTGCCACCATTAAAAATGTTCATTACTAACAATCACAGAGTAGGAAAGGAGGAAAGAAAAAGCGGATATATGCGAGCACAGATATATCCCCCATCTTAGAGGTTCCAAACTGCTGTCCCATGAAATTTTATTTTCCAACCCTGAAATAGCAGACATTATCAGTTGATGTTTGGTGTTTAGGTCAGATTCAAGGGTGTAAAAGGAAGCATCAAGGACAGGAGTTAGAAACTAATCCAAGTCTGTCAGTCAGGTTCAGAGTGAGAAAAGTGGGCAGAGTTTCTCATTCTCTCAGGACTCATAGGGTCTATATTACTACAACAAACAGCAATTTGTTTTCTCGTTAGGGCAAACTACAGATATGAAACATACCAGGACTTTCAGGACTGTCATCACCATCGTCTGAGCAACAAAACATCATCCAAAATAATAAACAAACAGAAAATAAAGTCAACAATAACAACAACATCAATAAAGAATCTTGGTTGCTAGTTTAGAAAGTGACTTTATGTCTACTGCTAGCTAGGGCTGGAACGACGCGTCAATGTAATCGATTACATAAATTAGTCGATTCGCGTAGAATGCGACGATTTGTTGAGCTGTTTATGTTCCTGAATGATAGCAGCTGCTACTCTGGATAGGCTGAAAATCAGCTGTTATTACAAAAATATCTATGTTCTCAGTTCAATTCACAAAATAAGAGTCTCTAGTCACAGTGGTTCACTGGGACAAGAGGGAATGTTTTTTAAGAGACCAAATAAAATCTGTAAAACTGAAATGGCAAACCACAGCACTTCTATGCAGGAGCATCTGAAAAGAAAACAACCCGGGGCTCTCCTACTTCAAAACAACGAGGAGACAGCGTAACTTAAGTGTACAATGGGTGCGAGACGTGCGGCTCAAATGTCTCTGCAACCGGTAACAATACATATATTGTTGTTGATTTAAAATATGGATGAACTCGCGCCTCGATTGGACCTCGTTTAATTTATTGACATGCTGTCAATCTTTGTAAAAGTTTTATGCTTGATACTGGCGCTATCGTTACCGGCCGCTGTGGTAACCATTGCGCCGCAATAGCTACTCTGGATGGGACAAAGCAGCCATTGCATATCCATTTGTCATCACAAGTGCTTGGAGTAGCTACATCGTAAATAGAACGATCAGATTACGGTTGTGACGTGCCGCATAGACAACATCACTGATTATAATGGGTTTTACTGTCTTTTGTCGAGGTTCGGCTGAATGAACATATTTAAGCAGCTACTTTAATCTCCTGAATGAACAAAACATTTCAGGATTCGCACTTGTAAGCAATTGCAGCAGTAAATTCCAAAAACACAGCCATAGTAAACATTTCCTAATTAGGAAATTTAGCTGCAAACCTTATCTTTTGTCATAAATAGTATCATTAGGTAAATCAATAGATTTATCGATTGAAAAATAATCGATAGTTCCAGCCCTAGTCTACTCCGCCATTTTCCACTTATTCAGTTTCTTTTCGGAGCAAAGAGGAGGCATGATACTCGTCACTTTCAGGGCAGCAACACTGGATAACACTTGGGGAAAATAAATGGGGAAGGTAACATTCCCACAAACCTTGATCCGTGTCCTCTGTTAAATCAAAATTAAAATATTCTTTAAATGAAATACATAAAACAAATGATAAAAGGAAGAAGAGGAAAAAAGTGGAAAAATGAAAACTAGTAAACTAAAGTAAATAAGTCTTTTTATACCTAATGCCTGTACTAAACAGACTCCTCTCGTTCACAAAAAAAATGCTTTAAACTATATATTCTTAAATTTATTATTGTCTAATTATGCAACTACTTTGACATGTATTTAAAAGACCCTTATTTGACTTCAGTGGAGTTTAGTGTACAAGTTCAGACTAATTTAAGTGATTCAAGCATTAGTTACACTGCCTTAGAAAAGACAAAAAGGTTTAGAGCGAAGGAGAGGAAGAAGATAACGACTAGACTGGAGGAATGAGACAGGGTGAGCATATGGGTGGATGAACGGGAAGGTGACATGGAGAGATCCGAGGGGATGTTTGTACCTTTGAGGCTGGGGAACGGTGTGTTCTTCTCTCGAGCTTTATTAGGCAGAGCCAGACTGGAGAGACTGAAACTAGTGCCATGGTTTTTATACAGGTTACCTGCACATATGCGATTAAGGAGAAATGTACAACAGGGAATCACACGTTTGTGTGTAATCGAGTTGTAAAAATTGCAGAAATTTAGTCCTAGTTAGTCTCCAGTAAAAGCCAATATGCAACTGAAGATACACTTATTTTTAAATATTACTATAAATTACTGTTCAAAGGTATGGGATCGGTAAGATGTTTTCATGTTTATGAAAGAAGGTTCATAAACTATTAAAATCTGCATTTATTTGTAAACAGTATATTTATACTACGTAAAATAACTGTTTTCCATTTGAATATTTTTAAATGTAATTTAGTCCTGTGATGATAAAGCTGAATTTTCAGCAGTCTTCAGTGTCACATGATCCTTCAGTAATCATGTCATAAAATACTGAATAAAAGTATACATTTGTTTTATATGAAAAAAAAAAAAATCTTACAGATACCACGCTTTTGAAAAGTAGGATGCCATGTAACCTTCACATATTTCTCAATAATTTCTTAATTTTTTTCTATAAATTTCTTCTTTTCAAGTCAGAAATCCAAGCAAATATCTTCAAAAAAGATTTGTTCTTTTTCATTTTTAGTATTTTTATGTCCAATTTTGCAATAGCAGCATGAGCTACTAATAAAATGAATTGAGGTGATGTTAAGCTGGCCACTCACTGGCGAAGGACATGAGTCCCCCGAAGCCATCGTTACTATTGTTGGAGATGGTGGAGTTCGGAGAGCTATTCCTGGAGTCTCCCTCCCCATCAGATTCACCTGGAAGCTTCAGACTGCTGGGTCTCAATGGACGTGATGGCCTAAACACACACACAATTTAGGACTTTGAGTGCTGGTCTGTGCAACTGAGATATAAATTCTGTGTGTTTGTGTAGGACTATTAACAAATACATACTTATTGCCATTAAGATTCTGATTGAATCGTGGTGTGTAACTCTCCTCCTGCTCATCTGCTTCTGCATCTTCTTCTGTAGGGAAGCCATACTGGGGTTCAAAATAGGGATTATCATACTCGCGCTTCTTATTGCCGGGGTCAACAGGCACCGGATCAGGGCCGGGTCTTGTAAAAGGTGGAGCACCCAATCCTGGGACAGAGTTCTGGATGGGCACACCAGTTGTCGCCTCTACATCAACAGGTTCCTTCTGCTCCTGCACAAAGAAAAACCCAAACTTTAAGTATCACGCGCATATCGAGGCTTTCGGATAACACATGTAGTTTAAGTACTGACATGGTTGACTCCCTGTATGACTGTACTGGGGCTCGAACTGGCCGTGGTGCTGGAGCTGGACCGCAGCGGCTGGCTGTCTGCTGCCTCTAGGGGACCCTCTGGCTCTGGGTCACCGCTGTCCCCCTTAAACTCCTGGAAGTCATGGATCTCTACCTCATTTGCATCTCCCAGAGCAGCATGGGTCAGGGGGTCAACATCTAAAGAGCAAACAGAACAATTATGAAGCTGAATTTCTCAACAGTTCTGAGTTTAATCAAGATTGAGCTCTATGAAGTGATAAATAAGGCAAGAAAAAGAGTCTATGGTTAGGAAAGAGACTAAAAATAGAGAAGCTAACTTGGTGTGTCCCCCTGTATGTCCCCTTTGATCATCTCATTCACAAAATCTCCAAGAGATGAGTAGGAAGAGCTGGAGTCATCATATGCTTCACTGTCACTACCACTGAAATAAATAGTAAACAATAACAAATAAATCAAATTTAAAATAGTCAAAAAACATTTTGAACACAAAAATCGATACATTATCGTAAAGTTTGGGTTTGGTAAGATTTTTTGTAATGCTTTGATAGAGGTCTCTAATGCTCAGCAAAGCTGCATTTATTTGATCAAAAATATAGTTAAAACAGCAATATTGTAAATTATTATTATTAATTAAAAGAACTATTTTCTATTTTAAGATGTAATTCCTGTAATTGTCTTCAGTGTCACATCTCTCAAAAATCATTCCAAAATGCTGATTTGCTGAAGTAACTGATGAAAAAAGTTGTGCTGCTTAATTGTTTTGTTGAATTTTTTTTTTCAAGATTGTTTGATGAATAAAAAAAATTAAAAAGTACAGCATTTATTTTAAATGGAAAACTTTTTCTAACAGTTTATAATTATAGTCTGCACTGTTATTTTTGATCAATTTAAATACACCCTTGCTGAATAAAAATATTCATTTCTACAAATTTAAACATCCTAACCCTAAACTTTTGAATGGTAGTGTGTAAGTATGTAAATGTAAAAAAGAATCAATGTGTATTAAGCTGCACGTTCACAAAAACTAATAGACACGTATAAGTGTGTATTTGGTGTTTTCAACCTGTCATCTGTTGGGTCTGAATCATTGGTCTCATCCTGCAGGGGTCCACTCAATGCTTCTGCCAGACGAGAGTTTGCATCGTACACACGGTAGAATACTGGCTGTAACTGATGGGCGTACCACTTAGGCTTATCGCCTATTAGAGAAGGGTCGTACACATCTGAAATACACACAGACATAGTGAGAAACACATAATGGAGAGTCTTTACAGTGAAACTAAGTGTTAACCTGCCTTTACACAACTTAGGAGAAGTTAAAACTACAGATAGGGCTGAGTGGAGTTGTCACCCTCTGCAGATGTAAGATTGGATTTAATTTTTTGCAAAGATGAGAATCATCAATCATTTCTATCTTTATGATAAAGACCTGTTACTGTACATCTAGAATGGGCATATATGAATAAAATCAGTTATATAATTGCATTATTTAACATTTACACTGTTTAACATTTGCCACAAGGGGGCAAAGTGTGACAGTCAAATTTGGAGGTCAAAGAAAAGGCAGCTTGAGGATGACGGATCAGGTATATATCTATGTCTCTTACTGTTATGAATCCTTTGGAAAGCCAGGTTGGTGGGATTAAGCGCCCACTCTCCATAGTACTCCACCGCTTGGGTGTGGGAGAGCTTTTCGGTGAATCCACTCCTCCGAGGGCGAGAGGCTAGGAAAGACGTGGCCTGGAATGCCACCACAGGACGAGGGAAAAGGCGCAGAGTGCGCGTGTGCATCTGAAATCCTTGTAGCACATTTGGAGAGTTGAAGAATCTCACCATCGCCACCCTAATGACAAGATCAAAATCATGTAAAAGATCAAAATCATGTACATTATGGAGCCGAACAGAAAAAAAATATTTTAAATGTTTTGTATGCAGCAAAAACAATGGGTTTTATCCACTAATAACTCCATTGATTAACTGCATGCATGTGAACAAAATTTGTTCAAAGCATCGTTGTAATGTTACTAAATTTAAAGTACTGTAAATGAGTGACCGCATTTCGTTTAGTCATTTACATAAATGCGGCTAAATCGCTTCCATTTAAGGAGTTTCCGCACAGACACGCTCTCGAGCGATGCCAAGCGTGCTGTCCTCAAACAATTCCATCTTAACATGTTTATAAGGAAAACAAGGGTATATGATTTTGCGTGTGTGCTTTCAGTTGTTTGTACGAATTTTCAAAAATTCAGAATACATTTAACTATTGATAAATCGATTTAAATTCAAGCATACCAACAGTTGATGACTGAATGAGACTGACTGTAAATTCTACAAATACATGTTATGGCTTTTGGACCTTTATATGTTAGAAAAAAAACTAGTTTTCTAGATCCATTTGGTACCTAAAACGGCACTAAAATTGCACAGTAGTAACATAGAAACCCCGGTCAATCCTATCTCGTTAGATAGAGTATACAATAATTCGTACCTTGTGGCAACATCAACTGAGTCCACATCATTGCCGTAGATGAGCGGGTTGAACTCAGTGGAGGAGGGGGAGGCTTTGTCACGACCAGGGGGCAACAAAGACATCTCATGTCCATCCTGAAACTTCTCCAGATTCAGTATAGGCTGTGTGTTCAGACTCATGCTAGCCAGAGCCTGTATGGAGGAATTGATGAGAGAGCGAGAGAGAGAAAGAGTGGTGGAGGAGGAATATGGATACAGGAGAGATCAATTTAACAATGAATCCTGACAGGGAAGATTGAAGTAAGAGCACTATCGCCTCAGGCAATCATGCCTCACATTGCAGGCCAACATTACTTAACTTCTGCCTACAAACCTTCTGAATGGCAAAGGTGAAACATTTTTTATTTAAATAAGATTTCACAAAATTAAATTAAAGGGATAGTTCACCCAAAAAATAATATTCTGTCATAATTTACATACTTCCAAACCCAGTATCTTTTAATATCTATTTAATTTAGGCTATTTATTTACATATACACACACACACACACACACTGATAAACGCACATACATAGAGCACATCAAATATGGAGCTTGAAACGATAAAAATGCACCTCACTGGTTCTAACAGAAGCTCAAATGTGAAAAAAACCTCATGGGTTCTCACATGTCAAACAAGCACATTTGAGCTTTGGTTTACCATATTTTGTGTGCTCTATGTATGTGCATTGATCAATGTTATGCATGTATATGAGTAAAAGCCTAAATGAAATCTCTTCATTATATAACACGATCGTGTCTCTTCTGAATATTCATATGGATTACTTTTCCAACGTCTTTATGACACTGAAGCGTCAACGTTTTGGTGAAATTAAAGGGGTCATGAACTGGCTTTTTTAAAAATGTTATATTGTTGTCTGAGGTGAACTTATGATGTTCGCTTGGTTTTAACATAAAAAACCATCAAAATGAATAAGTAATAAGCAATTTTCTACCCTAGTTTTGAGCCCAGCTCAAAAAAGCTAGGTTTTTATGGGTGTCTCGCACTGAAGACTTAGAAGTAAACGGCCACTGCTGTGAGTGGATAACAGTTTTTCATATTATAATGAGTTTCACTCTCGACCCGGTTTGTCATCACGAGGTAGGCATCTATGTTATTTAGCTATGCGTGTAATGCGCAAATCGTTGGGCGGGGCTAAACCGGCCATGTTGAAGTAGGCGTTGATCTTGTTCTGCGGGGGTTGTGTTTTATCCTCTTAGACGTCATAGTTCCCCACTTTGAAAAATCGTTTGCTGAGGCTGGTGTCAATAAAAGCATTTATTGGACTAACAAGGATGTTCTCAGTTCTGAAACTTACAGGATATTCTTATAATATGATGACCTCTTAGATGTCAAAAGCTCAAGGAAAATTTGATTTCTCAGTTCATCACCCCTTTAAGGGAGGGGCAGAAACATTTTAATTGAAAATGTCTTTATTCGTGTTCTGAATATGGATGAAAGTCTTTAATGTTTGCAATGACATGAGAGTGAGTAACTGATGACAGAACATTCATTTTTGGGTGAACTAATCCTTTAAAGTTCTGAAAAAGTTACAGAGGGATGAGAGAAAGCAATTGCCTGAAACGACTGTACTGCATAAAAAAAAATGTAATCAAATAGTCAAAATGGTAAGGGAAGGGTGCGGTCATCACATAGAGCCATTAACAAAGCACTCTGGGAATTCTGCCATCGCTCACTCAATGCCTCTCAGCTGGCATTCCATCAGCTGGCATTTGCCACGCCATTTGACCAAACCAATCGCATCATCTGCTCCTGCTACTTTTTTATTTGCTTTGGGTTAATGAGCATAATGTAAGTGAGAAGTTGCATTGGAACATGCTCAAGCCAAACATAGTGTTATAGGAAACGGGGGCTGCTGTAAGACCTTCATCACACAGAGAGAAGTGGAGGAAGAGTGCACAGAGTTAGAGGCTATGGAGGCAAACACAGTCACAAGTGTGTGAGTTTCTGAGTGTGTTTATTCAAAGGGTGTGGAATAAAGTAGTATCTGTATGGCTTCAATATTTGTTAAGGTTACTGAGAGTGTATGCGTACAGGTCTACGAGTGTTGATGACAGGGGGAGAGACAGGAGTTATTTTTCCGTGCACATTCAAAATGCAAAGATTTGTGAACCTTGGAATCAGAGGCGAAGATCTGCTTTTGGGTGATCACAGTCAACCTTACCAGACACTGAAGGACACAAGAAAACATGGAGGCAATGTCACATGACTACCTGTCACTGAGAAAGTTTAGGAAATCATGTGACTAAAAGTGAGCGGAAACAATTCAAGGAAGGAGAAAAAACACAGAGAGACAAATAAAGAACACTTGAAGACACAACACGACCATTAACTAGACAGTATGAGTGCACACAGAAAGAAAAAAACAACAACAATCTGAAGAAAACCAGCGAGTAATGAGGTGGAAAGGGAAGCAGATCTCAAACAAACTTGTCAATGGAGAATGTGTACAAAACTTAAACCATATTTGTTAGGTGCTAGTCAAAATAAAATGGCATTCTCAACCTATTTTACTTTAACTTCATTAATGTGATGAAGGGGTTTTTTTAGGAGTGAAACAGGATTTTCAATGACCAAAAAGAAAAACAGGATACTCTCTTGGGCGATGTCACCCCAACCTCAAGTGAATTTTGATTTCATGTTGATGTTAAATAAAAATTTCCCTAAAATCTGAAGCTCGATTGAGTGAGAAATAGCACCGAATGACGGTGACAAGAAAAATTTACATTTCCATATTGGCTCATAGAGTTCTTGAACCACCGTCTTTGACATGACAGGGCACTACTGTACGCCTCTAAACCACTGAAAAAAATGACCTTCAATCTAAATCAGGTTTTAAAACCATCATGATCTGAAAATGAGGACCTGGTTAATGGTGATTCATAATGGCGAATGAAGACTCATGACTCACGATCTGTGAGACGCAACTGATGAGTCAGTGTATTGACTATTTTGGCTTGAGATATTACAATGACAGCATGATAATTATGTTTGATGCAAGATGAAATAAAATGGTGAATCAATTTGGCTGAGAAATTCAACTGCAGACTAACAAACACAAAGACAACAGATTGTGGTCAAATTAAATGCGTCTCTATTAAAGAGACATGAGGAAGGACAGTTTGTCAGTGTATCACAATGGTTGATGACAAGACAGTGAAATGTTAATGGAGTTTGATTAAGCTCAGAGGTGCCCAGAATCAGGTCAGAAGCTCTAGATAAGGGTCTATGTGGGATTGTAAAGGGTTAAGCGAGAGAACTAGAACCATTATCGAGTCTATAGATGGGGAAACTCAAAACTTATTACCTCCAAGAGCTGGAACAAAAAAGGGGGAGAATATACAGTCATTACAATACATAAGTGATCAACTAAAAGATGAATTGGTCAACAAACTATAGGAACATCAGAAAATGTCTTGTCTGCACTTGGCTTCAAATGATAGTTTAAAAATATCTGTGCATTGTCAGTCTTCTCTTTGGTTTAATTGCACTATTATAATTAATCATGTTTACAGCAGCTGCTTGATGACAGTATAATTACTATGCATTGCTTCTAGAATCTAGTTAGTGTTCACTTCAGATTCACAGTTAATGGTAGGGCTCCTTAGAGAGACGAGACCATCGGGTCGGTTTACCTGCTTCAAGTGTTTCTTCAGCTCAGAGGCCTCGGGTTCCGGAAGGGGAGGGAGCAATTCTGCATTGCTTGGAGCAATGACCTGCAGGGATAAAGATATGCAACCAACATAAGACCGCTATATATACACAATCTATAACATGTTAGAATCCATAAACCCATGTCTGGGTAGTTAGTTACAGATCGTGTAAATAGACAATGTACCTTGTTGCAGTCCAGATCCACTAACCAAACGTCATCTGGCATCTTAAAATCAGTCTTGTACAGGAAGAAACTGGCAGGCACCCCAATGACATATGGAGTAGGTGCTAGCAGGAGCTAGAAAAAAAGAGATGTGTTTGACAGATATAAGGAGAGCAATGTTCCCTCTAAACTGCGCCACGGATGCACAGAAAAGAATAAAATGCCACGGAGAGGACTGACGTGAAATGTGTGGGGTAATCTATTTGATTATAGTTTAAGTGAGAAATAATTTCAGTGCTCCGCTATAGAGTGAAACTGGTGAATGCAGTTTACAGGTTTCATAGGAACCTGCTCGTTGCCATTGTCAAAGGTTTGAAACAACCTGCTAAAGAAATTATTGGAAATTCATAAGCAATAAATAATCATTTTAAATTGATGGTTTAATGCTTTCTGTACACAATTAATTGACTGTAGTAAAAACACTTTATGTTTTTCCCAAAAGATCTCAGTGTAACAGTTGAGTATAGTTGCAAAGAATTTAACTGTCCTGTAGACGATTTTGTAAGTTATTTTTCATAGGATTTCTTGGTAAAGACTGTACAGTTACCAGCACTTGAAAAAAAATATCAGTACCCTAAATGTGCTTCATTTGGTGACTTCTTAATTAACTGCTTGTTTTTCAAAAATATGATTTAAGACCAATAAGTTACATCAAAGGGTCAAATAAAATAGAAATGGCACATTCACGTTTAAAGTTACAACTGAATGTTTAAACCATTGTGTTTCTACATATGATGGTATGTAGGTCAGGTATGAAGAATATTTTTGCTCTGGTGGCGAAAAATGTCCGCCCAATAGAATAAAGTTTTGAGATAGAAAAAAAATAGAGGGAACATTGAAGGAGAGCCTCATTG